GTATATACATGTGAGAAAATTTTGAGATATCCTAAATGATTAGCAATTGGAGGGTAGTAAAATGTTGGTACGTATAAACATACAAAGGATATGTGTCTATATTTGCATGCAGATTAAGTTATGTAAAAATAAGACTCCAGTTATACAAAAAATAATGTAAGTGCCCAGGAGTTTGAGGTTGCAGTGAGCTACCATGATGCCAGTATACTCTACCCAGGGCCACATGGTGAAACCCTGTCTCAAAAAAAAAAAAAAATCGAAACTAAGTCACAATGATATTTTGTTTTATAGCTGTCAAAATACTCAATGTGTTCCCTCTAAAAACCCTAACTAGTAATATTTACTTCAATGTATCAGGTTAGGTAATTCAGTACTGTTTCTCCATCAAACAAATGAAAACACTTTGGTCCCAAAAATGCAAAGCTAAAACCTACGTAATTAGCAGACAAAAGAGAGTACCAGAAGCAAAGAAAAAAAGGGGACATATATAAAATAAATTTGGTAGGAAAAACTTTATCTATTTATTGCATAAAACAAATAAAAACATAAGGGTCAAATTTTCAGTTGTCTATAACTGTATTTCCTTTCCAGGTAACTAATAATAATGCTGTTCTTAGACTATAAAAATAACCCTATTTCTGAACCACCACATCACTTCTACTGTGCCATATCCAGTAGGCTATATGTTATGTGTTTTTGAGTTCTTTTCCACTAAGTAGTAATATAGACTGGTGGTGATAAGCAAGTTTCCTACTTAGCCCATGTTTCTTATGGCCAACAGCAAAATTAAGCTAACTGATTCAGCAGTGTTGTGGGTATAATCTTTAGATAATAATGCAAATTTACAGTTTCAAGTTAATCCAATACAGGGCTAACACAAACAGTTGTACAGTCAAAGAGAAAAGCCAGAGCTGAAATCCAGCCTACATTCCAGTCACCATGCATATATCCTGACATAAAGAAGAGACAACTTTTCCTAATCACAAAGATTCAGTATGAGCTAAATAGCAGATTTGACTTAAGTCATGACCCAATTCAAATTAACATCATAATATAATCAACCTCCGTAAGCAAAAACAGCAAGTATACAGCTGCAGATTAGTAACTGATGTATGCAAAATACCTCTTCTTGATCAACTATAACGATGTAAATATGATAAAAAGAATATATATGTAAGATTATAATACATCAATACAACCCCCCACAAAAGTGGCCAATAGAAAAAAAACAACAAAAGTAAAAACAATAAATAGCACCAGGACAAATGCAATATGCATGAGAAAGATTTTATATAAAATTTTATATAAAGTTTTTGTATTCTTTGTATACTGCACATTTCATAGAACAAGTTAAATAGCAAGAAAAACGTTTTCTTAGACCTGAAATAAAAACCTTGTACACTAAATTAGCCTTCACTTGTTAGGATTTATGCTTGTAGTGAAAAAAACATGCTCACTTATTTTCATAATTACTGCCAAAAGAAAAGTAGTTATTTACAAGGCTGATTAAAATAAGGAAAACAATATACTATATATATTAAAGTGCTCTCTAT